CAACTCCAATGCGGTCGTGGCATCCGGGCGACCTCCAAGGACCCCTCAATTGCAAGATTTGATGAAGATTTGCAAAACCCCCAATTTTGGATCCAATTTCGAATTTTAGGGTTTTTCGAGTAGAAAAATTCAGATTCGAGAAGTTACAGGCCAAATTAGACAAAATGGTTTGGATATTATTGATCCTCGTCTCAAGACGAAGAGAATGACATTGGTCCCGCCGGAATCGGAAAAAGTTCATTTTCCGGCGACTTTGACCGGCGGGCGGCGGCGGCGGGGCGTGAAAGAAAAGAAAAGAAGAAATGGGGTCAAATTGAAAATTTTAAAATATATAAAATTCGAATTTGTCTCTAATGACCGGAAGTTAACCTAGAAACGGGCTAATGGCTCATTAGTGAAAGGATTGTGTAAGTTCAGAGATTTTTGTGAAAGGATTTGAAGTTCAGGTACTACTTCGAAATTCCAGCTAAAGTTCAGGTACCATTTGTAAAATTTACCCATGTAGTAACGCTGGTCACTGTTTAAGTAAATATTGACCGTCACTAGACGTGGTTCAAACTAAATATCCACTATCATTGAACATTGTTTCTGCAATTTGACATTATTTTTATTGAATAAAAAAATTTAACAACTAAACCAAATTTCACTTTTTTTTTTTGATGAAATCATCAAAACCAAAAACTCCCGTCTAAACCTAATCGCTGCTCCCTGCCCGAGTACCACTCTCCAATCTCCCTCCGGACTCAGCCGGATAGGTCGCCACCCGCCGCTCCGCGCCTGTCTCTGCCTGGCCGCCTCTGACCTCCGTGTTTTCCGACCGGTGTCAATATCTCGCCCCGGCGCGCAGGCTCACTAGCCCAGTCCGCCACCGACCACCGGTCCACCGCGGCACACCGGCATCGCGAGCCTCCAGGTTTTTTTTTTGTTTTGAACTTGTTAATTTATAATCCATTATCCATCTTTTATAATTTATGGTTTGTAATTTTTTTATCCATTTTCCCGGTTTTTATCTAATGAAATTGTCATTGTGATACTGTGAGTGCAAGTGACTGAGTGTAGGTTAAGGACTATCTGTTTAGTTTTTTTAAAAAATTTATTTAGTGATGTAAAATACGGAGTACTAAGTAAAGTTAGTTTATAAAATTTTTAATGGATTGAACTTAAATTCAGGATGAGAGGGCATTTAAATTTAGAAACTTTGTGAAGAATGAGTTTCGGAGCAAATTTGTGACCAGTGTTTAAATGATGGACTAGTGACATACATAGAGAGAGATATTCACTACCATTAACGATGATGTTATAATAGATCACTTCTAAAATATGAAAAGTAGACGCTATCGATTGTTTGATGTAGTTTATATTCAAAATATAAGGTTGTTATTGATTTTAAATTAATTTTAGATTATATGCTTATTTTATATGCAACCTTTAATCTTATACCGGAGTAATTTACAAGTACTTTTTTTATGTAGTGTATGACATGTGACATGTTGATACACATTTCATAATGGGGGTTCCATTACTCAAAGCTTCTGGGTCCTGGCACACGGATTTTAAGAAAAATGGTGGAAACAAAAAGTATGTGGTTAAAATTTACAGAGTATTTCAATAAGAGAAATCACTGCAACAAACCAAAAATAAAACTGTTTCACATATTTTGTGACAGTAAGAGTAATATTACGTGCATTTAGATACATTTTACAGCTCAAGTCTTAAATTAGACACCCTCTATCCTGGTGTGTTTGTCCAGTTTAACTTTTGTGGTCAAACTAGATGAATTTTGATCTATCAATTAATTTTTTTTTGAATATTGATAAAGTAAAATAATGTAGTGAGGTGGCATGAGAGAACGGAGAAGGTAGTGAAAAAGAAGAGAGAGAAATCTGCATAGATGAGAAATTAGGTCAAACTAGATGAATTTTGATCTATCAATTAAAAAATATATTTTAAACATTGATAAAGTAAAATAATGTAGTGAAGTGGCACGAGAGAACTGAGAAGGTGGTGAAAAAGAAGAGAGAGAAATCTGCATAGATGAGAAATTAGGTTTTAATCAAGTTTTAACTGTATTTAGAGGATAGAAACTTAGATGTCCTATTTTAGATATAATTTCTATATATCTTTTTTCTAGTTAGGTAGTGATATGGGTAAACCCGGGTTTGACTTTTGACCTCGGAAAATATGAAATATGGGTAAACTCGGGTTCAACTCTTGAGTTATGGAAATATGAAATATGGGTAAACCTGGGTCTGACTTGCGCTTTCCAGGGGCATGTCCCACTTCTTATTGACCAATCTGAGATTATAGCTCGATTCATCTCCCGCCCGCCTATTGTCCAGGCCGGTACGAGGGTGGGGGTTCAGCAATTTTTGAAGGAAACTGACAAATTTTGTTCAATATCTAACATCCACAGGTTGTCTTGATGAATACGTTGGCAAAGAATCAATCTTTATTGGCTAATAAACTTATTCCCCTGTTGTCGACCCACAATGATCTCACCATTACACATTTGAAGCAAATCCACTCACAAATCATCTCCAATGGATGTCTCAATTCTACCGAACTTCTCACTAGCTTCATTTTCTCATGTTATAACTCTCAAAACACTAAGTATGCAGAGCTCATTTTGCATAGTCTTCCAACTTCTGTTCCGTTGGTATGGAATTCGATGATTCGGGTATCTCTTGACTCACAGAACCTTAAAGATTTCTTGGATATCTATCATTGGTCAAGGCTTTATGGGTTCTTCCCTAACAAAAGCACCACCTCTTTGATTTTACGTTTTTGTGCTCGTTTCGGTGCGTCCCAGTTAGGGAAATCCTTTCACTGTCAGATAGTGAAAATGGGGTTTCAATTTGATGTGGTTCTGCAGACTGGGTTGCTCGACTTTTATTCCAAGATTGGGGACCTGAGATTGGCTCGGAGGGTGTTTAACGAAATGTCTGAAATAGATGTCATTGCAAATAATGTTATGATTTCAGCTCTAAGTAAACATGGGTTTTTCGATGAGGCAAAGCAGCTGTTTGAGAGTATGCCCAAGAAGAATGCTTCGTCGTGGAATTTGCTGATCACTGGTTACTGCAAAGCGGGTGACGTGGAATCTGCGCGCTCTGTCTTTGATCGGAACCCATCAAAGGACGTAATTTCTTGGAATGCAATGATTGATGGATATTGTAAGTCAGAACAGTTGGTTTATGCAGAGGAGATGTTTACAAAGTTAGGTTCTTCGAGAACTGCTGTGAGCTGGAATACAATGATTGCCGGGTATGTGCAGTGTAGGGAGTTTGCCAGAGCTATAAACTTGTTTCAGGAAATGCTAAACGAGAAGGTGAAACCAACTGAGGTGACAATGATCAGTTTGCTGTCTGCATGTGCTCATATCGGAGCATTAGATATGGGCGAATGGGTTCATGCCTACATCAACAAAAATAGATTTAGGGTTGATGCCGTTTTAGGCAATGCTCTTATAGACATGTACTGCAAATGTGGAAACATGGAAGCAGCTCTTGATGTTTTTCATGGTCTCCATACTAGGAATACATTTTGTTGGAATTCCATCATTGTGGGTCTAGGAATGTATGGCTATGGAAGTGAGGCCATAGATGCTTTTAACGCAATGCAAAAGGAAGGTACTATAAAGCCCGATCGGGTCACTTTTCTAGGGCTTCTATGTGCTTGTTGCCATTCTGGCTTGGTTTCTGCCGGCAAAAGCTATTTCTCTCAAATGAAGAGTTCTTATGGAATTGAACCTGGAATTGAACATTATGGATCAATGGTTGACCTTTTAGGCCGATCCGGACTTCTAGAAGAAGCAATGGAACTCATAAAAACCATGCCTATGAAACCAAATGTTGTTGTTTGGGGAAGCTTGCTCCGAGCATGTCACGTTCACAAGAACAGTGAACTCGGTGAACAAGTTACCCAGCATCTCTTGGACTTGGATCCGCGCGATGGAGCAAACTATGTTTTCTTGTCCAACCTCTATGCTTCCTTAAACCGATGGACCGATGTTGCCATGTGTCGGAAGTTGATGAATGAGAGGGGGGTGTTAAAGACGCCGGGATGCAGTTCGATCGAAGTTGACAATATATTGCACGAATTTGTAGCTGGTGACACCTCGCATCCTCAGTTTCCTCAAATCAATGCATTGTTGGATAAGATTGCCAAGGATCTGCAGGCTAATGGTTATGAACCGGATACATCATCCGTGCTGCATGACATTGATGATGAGGAAAAGGAGGATGTGATTAGATACCACACAGAGAGAATTGCTGTGGCTTTTGGTCTGTTGAACACACTGCCGGGAAAAACAATCCGCATTGTTAAGAACCTGAGAACATGTGGTGATTGTCATGTGGCCTTGAAATTTATTTCGAAATTATACAAGAGAGAGATAGTGGTGAGAGATAGGAATAGATTTCATCACTTCAGGGAAGGGCATTGTTCTTGCAAGGATTATTGGTGATTTAACAAGGTTTGTTTTTGTGTTTTAAATTGCTTTTCTTTGTTTAACTTGTACATATTCTGCGTCTTTTCTTCTTTAAAATAATTGAATCGGTTTTTAAGAATTAGCCATGGATTTCTTTTGTGTCATCATTACATTGCACATGGAATTGATTTGTGCAAATCGCCTGTGTTGCAGTATCTGTTCTTTCTTGCTCAGTTTTTCTTATTGTCTACGGTACATATAAACAATTGTGCTGACATGCTGTCTAGAATCCTCACTTACTAGACAAAGCATAAAAATGGGATACTATCATTGATCCATGTATATATTTTTCAATTCATATGGTACTCCGTATTTCAGATTGGACTGGCAATGTCTTCTCTAAGTAACAACTCACTTTTTTGGGACAACCATCACAATCCCTTATGTTCTTCCACCACGGGCTGAATGTTTCACTTTTGACTGATGATCCTTTGCAAATTCATCTGACGAAAGAGCCTCTAGTGGAAGAATACAGCATTGCAGCGAAGGTCAGTCTATATGATATACATAGTATAAATTCTCTGTCAAAAGAGAACATCAATGGTTTACCTTGCTGAGTTGTGTTAATTTTTCCAGGTTTGGAAGCTGAACTCATGCGACCTTTGTGAGATAAGATAGCGAGGAATTCTGTTTATCAGTCTGGATTTTCTCATGATGATGACAAGGTATGTGTACCTTCTCTAGACTATGGAAGGGCCGGTTTGGTGGTTATTTCACTAATGAGTTTTTTAAAGCAATAGCCTTTGGTAACATCAGCATTAGCCAAATAAGCAAAGCAAGACGGTTAAATTATGGCAAATAATGACTACCAAATGGAGCCTAATAATCTTTGTCAGTTTCCATTTTCATTAATAATTACACAAGCTGAAGGGCGACATGCCGATGATCGAGGCGGCATAGTCCATTCAAATGGACCGTTAAGGAAGAATCATTGTTTGTCTCTGTTTGGGTTGACATTTTCAAGCAACCTATCGTTGGTAAACTTTATTTGTTCTTCAATATATATTATATATATGTTTTTTTTGAAAAGATATATTAAATATATGTTATTTTTATATTTTTTATTAAAATGTTTTTTTCCTTCAATTATATATTTCTTAGAGGTTTCAAGCAATCGGAGGATGCGACGTGGTATCGTATCAAGGAGAAGTTCTTTGCATCGATGAACAAGGATGTCTCGTACTGAACGCGAGACCAACTCACTTCCAAATGGGATCACATCAACCGTAAAGTCCGAAAGTTTATCGGAGTTTACGAGGAATGCTCTCGGTCTCGAAAGAGCAGGACGAACGATGTCGATGTTCTGTGACAAGCCACTACCCGCTATCAAGATGATGAACACCAAGACAAGGTCCCCGTCGATCTTTGGAGAACTTTAAGCCATTCATCGAAATGGCAAAAACTCAACAACCCCGAGATCAAATCGTCAAAGAAAAGATCTTCCGCCAGGTTGAGGCAGATGAGACTATTGGTTCTTCGGAACAAAAGCCTCCCTTCATTCTAGACGACTCCGGTGACGAGGACCTCATCCTACGACCGATCGTAAGGAAGAATGCAAAATACATTGCCTCGAGTTCTGGAGGGCCCGACTTTGTTTCTTCTCACGACGAAATCATCCGGGCAATGGTTAAACAATTGCGGGTGTTCAATATTAGGGAAGAAGAGCGGGAGAAACGAAGGCAAGAGAAGGAATAGACCGAAATAATGGAAACCGACTTTGTTACGTTATCGGGCTTCAAACATATGCTTGTCTTAATTTAATTTGTCTTCAAAAAGAGATCAAGACTAAATTTAATTTGTCTTAATTTTTTTAATAAAATGTTTGTTTTTTATTGAATGTTATTTTTTTATTATATTTTTTTATTTAATGTAATTTTTTAATGGGTGATGCTATATCCACCCCAAAATGGCTATATCCACTCCTTTCATATAAATTTGCTAAATCCACACCAATATAAACTTTATATTAATGGGTGTGGATATATAGCAAATATTGGTATAAGGTGTGGATAGAGCCATTTTGGGGGTGGATTTAGCAACACCCTTTTTTTTAATTTAATGAATAATTGTCATTTAATTAATATGAAGTTTTATTTAATTTAATTTTAGAAAATGTGTATTAAAAACGTAAAAATTAAATGTTTGAAGCACCGAGATTTCAAACTCATTTTCAATAAAAATGTGAAAGTGTGAGGTAACTTAAAAGGAAAAATTTTGATTTTCGGAACTTTACCTGTATTATCAGTGCTCTACTGTCAAATCTTATATGGACTTAAAATTCTAATAAGAATCATGAATATTTTCATTAAGGGGCATTTATTTTTTTATTATGGGCGCAACATTATTTACCAGCAAAAAAGAAGAAAAACCCAAAGACAATAATGGGTCGAAAGAGAGACCAATCCCGCCCCGTTCCGTACTCCACTAAACGCCGGCGCCCTCTCCCACCGCCACCCGATGACGCGGCCAGTACAGCTGCCGCAGTCGACGATCTTTTCCCTGAAAATCCCCCGGCTTCTTCTAAACCACCAACGACGGTGGTTATTCTCGGGATTCCGGCGGAGTGTTCAGTCCTAGACCTAAAGTCACGGTTCGAGATCTACGGCGCAATCTCCCGCACCCGCATGGACCCCGCCGGACTCGCCCTTATAACTTTCCGGTCCAGAGATTCTGCTGAGTCCGCCGTGCACGCCGCTTTCCCGATTACCCTCCATTCAAAACCAGTAAGTATTCCCTCATTCCCAATTCCTTACAAAAAATTCTAATTTTATGAATTTATCATCTCTAATGTGTCGTTTGGTATACAATGAAGAAGAAATGGGATTTAAAATTGAAGAGTACTAAAATTAAGTTCCATTGAAAATGCCCTAAATGAGCCATTCCCACTTGTGCATTGTGATATTTCCAATTTCCAAATGCATAAAAATCAAATCTTGTTATGTTAACTAACCCAAAACTCACAAAAAATTGTCTTTTTGAGTTCTTTTTTATATTAAGGCGTTTGATTCATTTCTTTCCTCGGTGATCGTTAGGTGCGAGTGATGTGGGCAAGTGATGATCCGGCGCTGCAATGGAGGAAGGAAGGGGTGTCTAAAAAAGAAGGGAAAATGGAGGTTTTGTCAAAGCTGGTTAGGGCAGAGGTGCCCTTAAGTAGGCATGGGAGAGGTAACAAGAGGATGGGGTCTGCAATTGCTAGCCCTAAAGATGAGAATATTGCTAAGAGTTACACCAGCAAGAAACAAGGTGGGATTGCTTTGAGGTTAGGGGTTCCTTTCAAGGGCAGGAAGCTTGTCACCTATGACGACATTCTTTAAGGTGTCATGCTACAACGACACTAATTTTGACACCACGACATATTGGGTTGTCTGTGTGAACAAATATGAATTCATAGTAACATTGTTCTTCTTTACGTTAGATGTTGTCACGTCGCTAATGATGGTTATAGGGGGATTTAAGTTGTATCGTGGTCCTTAACTTATGATCACAATGTAATCGGTAGTGTTGTTTTTGAAGTTAAGACCTAAATTTTATGTGGGTTCCTTGTAAAAATGATGAATTTATGTTCTGTTTGGTTTGCAGTGTATGATGTCTCCTTTGTGAAATTGTGGGGGTTTTGATGGGTCTTTAAAGGAGTTTGTGTTCCTACATTTACTTTGATAAATTGTTGAAAACTTGACACCATACCATCCAAGTTTTGTCACTTAAGACTTGGGAGTTCCAGTTGAGCTTATTTGTTTTGAACTGAATGGTACTATAGTGTACTTTTTTTTTTTGAGGGAATTATAGTGTACTTTTGATCCAAAGAGTATTGGATAATTTGGATTGAACTCAATGATACTCAGCACTAAACTGGAGTGAAATAAAAATAATGCTATAACATGCAATTAGGTCGATCCGTACTTGATGACATAAGATCATGAATATGCAATTTCAAAATATGCAAACTTACTCGAACTAGACGTAGTCCGAAATAACTGAACTTAAACCTAATTTGACCAATCGATTGTCAGCTTTAGATTTAGATGCTACCAGTACGGCAGTACACTCCTTCTGTTCCTAAAAGAAGTTTCATGTTCAAACAACGTGCAAAATTCTATGCCGTCAGTAATGATTTTATTTACAAATTGGTATAAAAATAAAAAAATAAAACTTGCATATTTTAGATCTACATTAAAAATTCTAGAGCAAAACAAGATGTGACCATAATATTTTTGTTTTATCAAATGATTAATAAAAACTGTAAGAAAAAAAAGTTATCAAAAGACCTATAATTCATTTTAGGACGGAAAGATTATAAAATTGAGATTTGGAATTAAGCCTTTTCTTTTTTTAACTCTTTTCCCATTCAGGAAAAAGAAGATTCTAAGATATGTGGTGCTAAGGCCCAAACCTTATACCCAACCTTTTTATGGTATTCGCAACCGGGCCCATTATAAATCCTCCATGTGCGATTGTGCGGGTGAAAGATCACTGTATCAGGGGAGGACTCAGCAGCTCCCAACCATATCAGTTCCCCGTTGCCGAGAAACGCGCGCGAGCTGAGAAGATGGACGCGTCGCCGTCGTCATTTTCGTCATCTTCGCCGGCGCCGGCTTCGAAAGTACACCTAGCTCTCGCAGCGTTCTTCGGCGCGTCGGTGATGGCCATCTCCGCCTTCTACATCCACAAGCGCAGCGTCGACCAAGCTCTCGATCGCATAATCAACCTCCTCCGCCGCCAGCCTCCGTTCCCATCGGCGGAATCTGTGCCGGAATCCGGCTCGGAAACGGAAGAAGTAATTGATATCTTAAATGACAGGAATTTCCACAGCCGTCATAATCTATCGGAAACTGCTGCTGTTCAGAACGGCGTCGTTTACCATTGTGGCGATAAGGTGTTGATGAAATACAGAGTTTCATCTTCTATGCCTAACACCGGTCTTTCTAACCAGTGGATTGACGGGGACGCGAATTCCGATGGGCCGTTGGAGGCCACTGAAATGATGGAGCTCAATACGCCTGCACCGTCTGATTTGCCCTCTCTAAGAATGAATCACCCAGAAGGTATGTACCCGTTTTTTCAGCTCCATTCAAATGAAACACCAAGATCATTTTGCACTCCTGTAATTGCTTGTGACCTGTTGGCTCCATGAGTTGTGCTCTCACACAGCCTTTAATGTAATAGATGGAATACATTTTTTGAACTCATCATAGTATATGGACCTTTGAGATATGGGAAGTTTTTGAAGGGAATGAGGCACACAGTCTTCTTTTCTCACACAGTGACAGTAGATTATTGGGCTTCCATATTTAACTTTTGAGCTTCATATGACAAACTGTTGTATGCATGACTAATAAACTCTTCTTTTTCGGATAAGAGTGGATTTTTTAATCTCTTAGGTGTAAGACTAATTGAACTTCTTGGATGATACTAATAATGGATTTTAGAATCTTTCTTGAGATGATAACCTTTAAGCTATGTAATTCAGCATTCAATAGATTCTGCCTACTCATTGAGATCTACTCCGTATAATGCAAATCTCTAGCCATTCTCAGTAGTATATTTGTTTTGGCAAATTGAGAGAGTGCATGTTTCTATGTTAAAGTGTAGTTGTGGCAGCAAGCAGTTGCCTGATGGCCTTGCTTTTGAGCAAATCAGAAGTTCATTGTTTGGTTTCTTAGGCCATCTCGAATCAAACCCTATACCATCAGAAATCTGGTGTTATGACATTAGACCTGCTCCAATGCAATTGCATTTCACTGAGCCAAACTGGGGTAATTCATATTAAAGCTATTTGTAGCTCTGAAGTTATTCCTTCAGAAAATACCCATGGCTTTAAGTGCATGGATGGTGTTCATAATTACTAATGTGTGAAGGATATTGTTTCTTCCAAGTGCAATCTTCAGTTTACTAGCTTTAATAGTTTGGGATTGGAAGATGTGCCTCAAAGGTATTGTTGTCAGTAGTTTTATGCAACTGTGTGGTATGATATGTAATTTTGTATACTGCATTATCTGCACTGACCCCACTCTTTATTGCACAGGAGAAAACCAATACAATGATGGTTTTGATACGAAGGTACATGTTAAGTCTGCTGGTAGGCAAATGACTCCAAAAACCTCTATTTCAAACACATTGGAGGGTGATCTCCATGATGAAGAAGATGAGTTCCTTCAAGAAGATATGGAAATCATTCATGATGATGTAAGTGTTTTAATCCAAGTTGAGAAGGCTCTGTGATATTTGATGATGTGATTGCCTTATGTATGGTCACATTTATTGATAGTGGATAGTTGCAGCGTAAGTCGATAACTGATGTTTTTAATGGATCAAAAGACAACTAACATAAAAATGAGTTTTAAGAATGTGTATGACGAAATGATAGTGTTTGAGATGTCAATCTTATATGGAGTATTATTTATTTCAGTTATTTGTCTATACAGTTCATGGCTCACAATACTACACATTATATGAGCGGTCTCCAAGAAAAAGCCTATATAAAACTATAAAACTGATGCACATGTGTGTTTGGTGTGTATTTTATTCGCCATAAATGTAAATGGTATCTGATCAGCTTCAGAAGCCACATGTCTTATGCTGGCTTGTAATATAAACTTGTAGAATTGTTAATTTGTGTATCCATACGTGAAAGTGAAAACTTACTACGGAGTATAATCCATATTGAGTTACTTATTTCTTCTAGACTGTTACTCATACTTGAAGCTTACTTGTCCAGATATTTATGAAACAACAAATATTACAAGATGATAATTACTTTTCAGGATATCATTCCAAATGTCCAAAATAAATTAATCACTCAGTCTCAAGCAGAAAATGGCATTCATCATCATGGTCAGCCACATAAAACAGTTACAGATGAAGGAAAACCCAATGTTGACCATCATGATAGAAAGGCGGATTCAAGTCTAGGACACATTAAGGCCACCAACCACATCTTTAGTGGTATCTTACCCCAGGTGACTACAACGAATGGTAGGTTTTTATTTATTAATTTTTTCAACATGCAATTTTAATATGTATGGACATATGGTCAATACAAATTAGTGGTATTACATGGGTTTTTTATTTATAAAAATAGAAATTCATGTTCCCATTTTGTAATAATATGTTTTGGTTTTGGTAAGCAAAATGTTTCATTCTCTAACTCATCAAATTTCTGAAACCAGAGACAATTAACATTGAAGAGGAAGAGGTTTTGAAGATGATCCGTGAATGTTTAGATTTGAGACAAAGGTATATTTTCAAAGAAAGTACTGTTCCATGGATGAGGGCAGCAGATGGCGAACCAAATGTAAAAACGAACCCGTTTCAATTTGTTCCTTGTGAAGCAACTGGTGTGAGTTTCACTTCAACTCATCAAGGGCTATAGTTGGTCTGACTTCTACATTTTAAATTGTTTTATGGTATGCTATGTTAAGGCAGGCCCTCACCTCAAACGTTTTCCACTGATGGAGTTTCTTGGATTTGCATACAGCACTATTTTAAGATGGTTGATGGAGTAGTTCGTGTTTATGCTAGTGAAAATGGTTAGCCTTTTTTGGATCTTAGTAATCAAATGATTACTGTACTCATGTTTTGCATACCAAGTGGCACTTGAGCATTTGTTGTTTTTGTTTTTATTTGACTTTTTAGATACTGAAGAACTTTTCCCTGTTGCAAATTCAACAACGTTTTTCACTGACATGCACTGTCTCCTAAAAGTGATGGCTGCTGGCAGTGTCCGTTCTGCTTGCCATCACAGGTTGCGATTGCTGGAGGAGGTAGTACTCTATAAGAATTGTCTTAGATTATTGTACATGCATTTCCCATTGTTGATTTTTTAAAATTTACATGTAACTATGACAGAAATTTCGGCTCCATTTGCTGGTAAATGCTGATAGGGAATTTTTAGCACAAAAGAGTGCACCTCATCGTGATTTCTACAATATCAGAAAAGTTGATACACATGTACATCATTCTGCTTGTATGAACCAGAAGCATCTCCTCCGGTTCATAAAGTTAAAACTAGAAAAAGAACCTGATGAGGTATTACAGACAATCATTTTCGGTTTGCTTGGCCTTATAAAATAACAATCGACATTTCATAATCAGTGTTTGTCATCTGGAAACTTAATCTATTGCTACTTGTTGAATAGGTTGTTATATTCCGTGATGGGCGGTATCTCACGCTAAAAGAAGTCTTTGAGAGTTTGGACTTAACAGGGTTTGTATAGTTTGGCTGAGAGCTCTCTAATCCTTGTCACACTGGAAAGTTGGGGCTCCATTATCTTTCAGGTTCCCTGCTTATATGCTCTTATTGTTGCAGGCATGATCTTAACGTTGATTTGCTGGATGTTCACGCTGATAAAAGTACATTTCATCGTTTTGACAAATTTAACCTCAAATATAATCCTTGTGGTCAAAGCAGACTCAGAGAGATCTTTCTGAAGCAAGACAACCTTATCCAAGGTCTGGTTTTGAATGATGTGAAATTAAACTGCTCAATATAATCCTTTTGTTTAATTCTAGTATTTTATGTTTTTATTTCAGGTCGTTTCCTAGGCGAAGTGACAAAGGAAGTCTTGTCAGATCTCGAAGCAAGTAAATACCAGGTGTGGATATATACATTATTTGGGACTTGTTAGAATATAAGAAACATTTCTTGGGCCACAACCACAAGCTTGAGCTTTTGGTTGAATCGGTTCCTTGACATGGTATCGGAGCCTTGTTGACTTAGAGGTCACAGGTTTGAAACTCAGCGCCACCCAATTTTAAAAAAATTAAGGTTTCACGGGCAATGCTCGAAAAAAAATACTACGCTTGCACGTGAGGGGGCGTGTTAGAATATAAGAAACATTTCCTGGGCCACAACCACAAGCTTGAGCTTTTGGTTGATTCGGTTCCTTGACAGTAATCTTTTTGTCTTCTGCAATGTTGACCCATGGTGTTACAACCATGGCACTATCTTTGTCTTTTTTACCTTTTTCATATTTGTGTGGTCTAAACTCATCATTTATCTATACTTTTCATATTGAATGTCAACCACACATTTGCACTTTTTCTTATTTTCCGTGCCAACACCCCATGCCCCAAACTTAGTGGGACGGATGGAGTAATTTTTAGTATCTACCTGTATATCTTAAAAGTTCACACCTAAATCGTTTCTTTGTTCCAGATGGCTGAATATAGGATATCGGTTTATGGAAGGAAACAAAGTGAATGGGATCAATTAGCTAGTTGGTTCGTAAACAATTCGATTTATAGTGAGAATGCTGTTTGGTTAATTCAGGTAAGTTGCTGATACATCACCTCATGAATAGTTTCTGTTTAAATAATAAATCCTCTAGATCCTGACAATTTTGCTGTATAATTCTTTTGCTGTCTGGGTTGCCTGAGCTCATCATCCTTCACTTAGTGACTCGTTGTTGGTCTGTCTTGATGAGTATTGCAGTTACCACGTCTATACAATATCTACAGAAGCATGGGAACTGTTACATCCTTCCAGAATATTTTGGATAACTTATTCATTCCTCTATTTGAAGTCACTGTCAACCCAAATTCACATCCTCAATTGCACTTATTCCTAATGCAGGTTATGTTAATGTTTTTAATGGCTAATAATTGCATATTTTGCTTTTCGATCCAGTAGGTACTCTTCCCTAAAATAAAAAATCAGTATGTACCCCAGCAGCAGCTTTATGGGAGAATTCCTTCATGGTAATAGCCTGAATGATTTTTTTCCCCATTTCATTGTATACAGGTTGTCGGTTTTGACATTGTTGATGATGAAAGTAAACCGGAAAGACGACCTACTAAACACATGCCAACCCCAACTGAATGGACAAATGAGTTTAATCCTGCATTTTCCTATTATGCGTACTACTGTTATGCAAACTTGTACACGCTCAATAAGGTCAGCTGGGCTTCCTAACTAGAAAGTGGGCTTGCTGATATTCACAATTGCATTTTGCACTATTGCAGTATTTATTAGGAGTACTTATTATTCTGGTGTACATTGGCTGGGGGTGGCAACTACTCGTACAAATTAAACCTTTTTCTATTCAATCAAATACTCACAGCAGATGTCAGTTCCAATAGAATGAATATGGAAATGGATCCTTTGTCGTAACTCAACTGTGAAGACTGTAAATGGTACATAAACGTTCTGCATTCGCTAGGATTTTGGAAGATGCACAACGTTAGTTGAAATAAATCTAGACTGTCCCTGTTCACCAAGGATCAGTGTCCTATGAACATATATTTGCAGAAAGTAAATCTAAACAAGAGAGAACTGTTTGACTCATTTTTTGTCGATATGCTTTTTACTCCGTATTATTTAACAATCTTTTATTATGTTGTGGAATGATATACATAATCCATTTTTATCTTCTTTGTTGCCAGCTTCGTGAATCAAAAGGATTCCCAACAATAAGATTTCGACCTCATTGTGGGGAGGTTTGTCTTCAGTTTGGTTCAAATTATACATTTACTTGCGTTGTGACTTGTGATATAGGCTAATGCTTTTTTCACATGTATTCGTGCAGGCAGGGGACATTGACCATTTAGCTGCTGGATTTCTTTTGTGTCATAACATTGCACATGGAATCAATTTGCGCAAATCACCTGTCTTGCAGTATCTGTTCTTTCTCGCTCAGGTTTGTTTATTGTCTATGGTACAGATAATCAAATATGCTGACATGCTGTCTAGAATCCTCCCTTTTTCCAGACAAAGCATAATAATGGGATAGTATCATTGATCCATGTATTTTTTTTTTCAATTCACATGATGTTTCAGATTGGACTGGCAATGTCTCCTCTAAGTAACAATTCACTTTTCCTGGACTACCATCGCAATCCCTTCCTTATGTTCTTCCACCGTGGGTTGAATGTTTCACTTTCAACTGATGATCCTTTGCAAATTCATCTGACAAAAGAGCCCCTAGTGGAAGAATACAGTGTTGCAGCTAAGGTCAGGCTTATATCTTATGCTACCTCCATCCTGTGTTCGTCCAGGTTGACTTTTTGCAGTAAAACTTGAATTTTGATCATTAATTAAATAAGAATTGCATTACGTATTGCTAGAAAATTGATTTAATTAGATTTATCTTGTAAATATATTCCAAAATTTATTCTATTTTATTATTATAAAATAAAATATTTATTTAGTTAATGATCAAAATTTATTGAGTTTGAGTGCAAACAAGTAAAAAAGGACAAACGTACTGGAATGGAGGTAGTATATATTTTCTGTCAAAAGAGAACATCAATGTGTTTCCTTGCTGAGTTATGCTATTTTTTCCAGGTTTGGAAGCTGAATTCATGTGACCTTTGTGAGATAGCGAGGAATTCTGTTTACCAGTCTGGATTTTCTCATGCTGACAAGGTACGTGTACTTCTCCAGATTTTGGAAGGGCTGGTCTGGTTTGTTCGTTCACTATATTGGATGAATAATCTCATGATTATTTTTAAAGAAGCCTTTGATAACATCGTTATTAGCCAAATAACTGAAATAGGCAAAGTAAGATGTTACTTATTCTAAGTATCGTGCCAAAAAGAAGATTAAGAAAATTATGGCTCCCAAATGGAGCCTAAAAGTCCTCGCATAGCTTCCTCCCTACCCCTCTCCTGTCGCTTTCAATTTGGGCTAATACTTTTGCCCATAATAAAACTGGTGCATTTTGGCAAACACTGCAGTTGCATTGGCTTGGGAACAAATATTTCAAGAGAGGCCCGGAAGGGAATGACATTCACAAGACAAATGTACCAAACATGAGGATTTCCTTTAGACATGATGTGAGTGTTCTACCTTTTTTTGTTTGGTGTAACTATATGTGGTTTTGTCGTATAATAACGTGTAATGTGACATATGTTAATGGGAGGTGCATGGGGCACCACTCAAGTTGTCAGCAACTTTAAGGTCGGGTCCATTTGGAATCCGGAAAATACGTTAGAATAAAACAGGAAAGGAACCATGAGGAAAATAAATAGGCTATAACTCAATGAATTTATACTAGATATTTGTGTATATTCATTTTATTTACTGCTATACAAACATAACCTTAGAATATGGGATGGATTCAGCGTATTAACTCTAACATACCGACAACTCAGATTGGGTATGGAGTAACTCATCCCCACACATCCGATCTAGAGTGTTGGCAGCGTAACTCTTAACTCTCTCGGATCCAAATGGGCACCTATAACTTTGGGGATATTTTTGCAGACATGGATGGAGGAAATGCTGTATGTGTATAGAGGTAAAGCCAGCATTTGTGAAGAAATAGATTACTGATTGAAGAATGCCCCTGCACTTTACCAGTAAGCACTATCTTTGCATGTTCATTCTCTTTTGGAGCCAAATTTTATCATTGCTTTTAATTTCCGTCTTTCGCAAAACGGTGTTTGAAGAGAAGTAAAATTTTTATTAGAACAATGATCAGAACAATGGTTGGTGGTATACCCCAACACATTTTCACTAAAACATGTAGGTGTGGACAAGTTTACTGACAACACTTGTAGGCATTTTCACCGCCACCAGTGGCATCGGTGAAAAAGTGTTGGTACACACCATGGTGTACACAAAAA